GGGAAACAAAAAATTATGGTGCATTTGCATCGGAGGATTTGAGGGAGGAAATTGAAATCCAGAATAACAAATCTATCGAGCTTGTTTGGGTTGAGTTATTTGACAATGAATTTCAAATCTACAGCTTCCACTTTTAATTATTTCTTGAATAATTGTGATTGATTTCAAACCCCTTCCTATTTGTTTTGATTTTAAATCCCTTCTATTTAAAAAAAATGAATTGGAGAAATTACACTTTTTGCTCCCAAGTTTTGCTCGATTTCATATTTGGTGCTCCATGTTCATAAAAAATAGATTTAGTCCCTCATATTTTGATAATCTAACACTTTTAGTCATTTTTGTCAATTTTTTGTTAGTATTAATGGAATCAAGCATGTGACCTATTTAAACTGACCGCCGACTAACAGTAAATTGATTGAAATGACAAAAAATGTCGAATTGTTGAAACATGAGGGACCAAAATGTGTTTTTGGTAAACATAAGAGGCTAAATGTGAAATAGGTGCAAACTCGAGTGACGGAAATCTTAATTTTCTCAATATGAATTTGTTATATATTCTTGAAGGATGATATGTTACTAATAATTTATGAATACAAGAGTTTATTTTATGGTATGCCGGGTGAAGTACATTCTATATATTATTAGGGGCTATTTGTTAAACACCTTTCATTGAGAATTTACTTCTCGATAAATCCTTAATTTGTAATTGATATTTAACATAAATTTATTGGGCCGAAAAAACCTTATATGCCCCCACTTATTAGTATCATTATTTTAAATAAAAAATACGGTGAATTAAATGCAGAATCCCTTCAAAAAACCGCATTACCTAAAAATTCTTCTAATATTTCTCTCTCCAAAATCCTCCCAATATCGCTCCACAAATCTCGCACCCAACTTTCCTAGTATCTCGAAAATCCATTTCATTTTTTTTCTCTTGATCTCCAAATTTTGCATCAATGGCTTCACGTTTAGTGTAAGAAATCTAATATTATTTTCGGACAAAAACTTCTTCTCTTTCGGGAAAACAATATACATAAATTGGTTCAACATCACACAAGCTTTTTTGGTAAAAAATTGACGTGTATTACAGTGGAAATGGCAAAATTCACTTTGCATAATAGTAGATTCAATAATATGGGAAGGTCAAATTTCATGGATTTAATAAGGAAAGGGCATAAACCACTTTGCGCGCGAAAATCACTTTGTGCGCAAAAACCACTCTGCCTGCAAAAACCACTCTTACATTTGTGTAAGCATCAACACAACGTGTACAGTGCACCATACACATACAAATCTTATATATATCAACAAAATGTGTACATACACATACAAACTACTGTCCAACGTAAATCAATACAAAACTTCACATATAACCCATCTTAAATTCTCATGTGAGCCGAAAGCCACCATATGAATCGGCACAACCGCCGCTTGTACAATGACACAAACAAATTATTATTTATGTTAGTTACAATTTTGATTCCACATAAACAGGGATGTGCAATCAGTAAGCGTAAATGTTGAAATTAATTGAGAAACTGCTCATTAAAATATTTCTGTAAAAAATATTATATATATTCTCTAATAACATATATTAAAAACATGTGTATTAATTAGTACGAGCATAATAGTGATAATTAAGGATTTTTAATTAATAAAAGCTCTTTCGGATTTATCTTAAAAATGAAAAATAAATTTGGGCCTAATGTAATGACCCTTGTGTAATGGGGGAGTTTTATCAAATTATCCAATATTATTATTTGGGAAAAAATGTAAAGTGTTGTAAATAATCAATAGTGTTGGTTTTCCTAATCATAACCACTTGATGGTTACTTCCACTATTTTCTTAACTTACTACTACTTGGAAAATCTATTTAACTTTCTGGCGGTTTATGCTTATATTAATGAGAAAAACTCCCTCACCATCTAATCTCTTTAATTTTCTCTGTACTCTCTAAGGATTTGTGTTGGTGGAAATACCTACAAGCAAGTGCAAGTATCGTATAAGTAATATAATGGACTAAAAGTCTGAGTATCGGTCCCACGAGGAATATTCAACCGTCTAATCCTAAACGCTAGATTCTCACAAATATGTTCAAGCCCACCCTACACAGTCGAAAAAACTGATTGATTTATTCTAAAATTAAACTAAATTATCTAAATTAAAATGCAAGCAAAAACAAGTAAGCAACTAACACGTATCAAAGTAAAAATCCCTAGGACTTTATCTTCCCCCTATGTGATTACCGATCCTCCAATTTCCTTAGTTATGCAAGCAAATAATTCGGATTACTAACCTGAAATGCTAAATTGATCATAACCCGCTTCCGCGTGTATTATGATTCTATTATTTTGGACTAAATTACTGTATTCCTACGCAATTCAATCAAGAACAAAGCATTAAACACAAATCTCAATAATGGCTACCTAAAGGCTCTTCTACCACAGTTCTAATATATTGTTAAACCGATCTTCCGAGTCATGCATTCAACAATAATAATAAACCATATAAAGTGATAAAGTTCATGCACATAATAAGTGAAGTAGAAGAAACAATCCAGGATTAAAACTTGCATGAAATCATAGAATTGGGTTCACATCCCACATAGGGTTCGAATAAAATCCTAGAGAGAAAGACTTAATTAGCTACTCGTAATTCTTATGATAAACAAAATAGAATTCATAAAAGAAATAATAAAAAGTATGCATGAGTCTTCGTCAATCTTCGTTCTTCGTGTTTTGTGGTGTATAACTTCTTGATAAGAAAGTAGTGTAAACCTAATAGGAATCAATTTCCGCCACTTTCCCCCACCAGTATTTGGCCTTTGATTTTTACCATGTTGGAGTCCGAATGTTGGAAAGTTGCGTGAAATAAGAATTGTAGCCCTTGAAATCAGCTTTCCAATGCTGCTAAAATCAACTTAATTGGAGTTCGTATGAGAGAGATATGCTCGAAATGGTGGACACTGCCAAAGCTGTTGTGAGATTCCTTCTTCCAATTTGAGTTATTTCCTTATTTGCAAATTTTTCCTTTTTTTTGATCATTTTTTCTTCAGAGACACTTAATTCTCGTTTTTCACCTATAAAACACAAAACCAATAAATTAAAGCACAAATATAATTAAATCTAAACAAACAATCCACGTAAAGTAAATGTATTGAGTGTAAAATCTACACTCAACAATTTATTCTTTGCATTCTCTCTTGCTTTCTTTATATTGTTGTGTCTATTGTAATATATTACATGATTCCACAATCACCAAACCAGATGGCCAGTTAAATAGGCCATTTTAAACATAAAGAGAAAAATGAAGAGGTTTTAAATAGTAGCAAAGGTGCACATTTTATATTACTTTTATCGTTGTTGGATAGCACTAGCAGATGTTGGAGCTAAATACCTAACACGCAAGTGCACGTATTGCAAACAAGTAATAAAAGTGGACTCGTGAGAGTCGGATGTCAATCCCACAGGGAATACTCAAATTATATAATCCTAAGTACCAAATTCTAACAACTATGATTCTTATCCAGCCTACGCAAGTTTGTTAAATTAAATCAATTAAACAATTAAACTAATTATGAAAGCAAATAAACACGAGAAAATATCAATAAAAACGGACCTAGGATTTTATCTTCCCCCATATACAAGAATTGCTCACCCAAAACCCCTCAATTATGAAATATATGATTCCTGATTATTAACCCGAGACACTAATTTACTCATAACCCGTTGTCGCGTGTATTATGAGTCTATTATTCATAAACGGTTCACTATATGTCTATGCAAACCAATTAAAAATAAAGCCTTAACTAACAAGTCTCGTAAATGGCTACCTAAGGTGATATCTGTATGTCTACGACACCACATACAATCGACACACTCATCCGGTGAAAACTACTCGAAGGTTCTTATACTTACCGTCTAATTATCAAAATAGCTCTGTCTATCGAGTCAATCCCCATAATCACAGATAAAGCACATAAATTGATCAGGTTCATGCACTAACAATCATAACAAGTAGAAGAAATAATCATAAAATCATAATTGCATAATCTCAAGAAAATGGGTTCACCATCCCCACATAAGGTTCCAACAAAATCCTAGATTAAACACTTAGCTACTCATGTTCTCTACGAAAAACATAATAAAAATATAAAAAGACATAGATTAAGAAAAGATAGATAAAAGAAAAATTGTGATGAAGATTGTGTCCAAAAGTCCTTTAATTCATGCTTGGTTAAATAGATCTCCCAACTTGGTCGATGATTTTAGGTTTCCTTGTGTGATTAAAAGTCCAAAATTGTCTCCAGCGTGTTTTGGCGCGGCCGCGCGAAAATCAGTGTAATTCTCACACGGCCGCGCGAGAATCGCCGAAACCTTTTGTACAAAATCTGCAATTGGCGCGGCCGCGCCAAAAATAGGCTAAATTTGGCACGGCCGCGCGGACCAATTTTCAGCATATTTTTGTTTTCTTCCGTTTTTGCCGCTTTTTGACTTTTTTGGCACGTTTCGTCCTTGGAACTCCCAAATCGTCAAGTTGTACCTAATATACAATAAACAACTCATTAAGCATCATTAAATCAATAAAGGTATACAAAAATCCTCGTAAGAAAGTATACATTGAGTGTAAAATATACACTCAACAGCAGACAAAAGACAAATTGGAAGTTAGATGTAAACAATCGCTAATTTGGAGTCGTGTAAACAAGTTATTGTACCAACTACTCAAAATATAATTAATCAAAAAAATAAATTGTATTTTAAGGTTAAGAGATCTGAAAAGACTTTATCAACTTGTTTTTTTGGCAATTAGTCAAAATTACGTGCAAGTAATTAATGACATAGACTCCATATATAATATTCAAAAGAAGCTTGGTAATGCATCGTGTGAGCTACTTTCATTTCTCTCTAAATTCCTTCCTATTCATTCCTCTCTCTAAAGTTGTGTTTCTTATTTCCCATTCATTAATTTGTTAATCTTGTAAGAAGGAAGTAAAATGGCTTTTGCTGCTCTTCATTCTCTTGAACAAACCATAGACCATATTCTAAATTGTGATATTTATTCCTTTACTCATGAAAATTCATCAATCATATCTATGAATACAAATATTGCTTCACTTCGAGAATTTCTTGGATAATTTCCAGATAAAGTCAACAACACTTTGGAAGGACAAATCAGAGATGTAGCACACGATGTAGAAGATGTGATTGAAAATTTTAGGTTGTCGAGGATGCACTCGTTACATATCAAGTGGATAGCGAAGGTTAAGTTTAGATTCCAGTTTCGCAGAGTATCGATGCAAATTCATTCAATTGCTGGAAAGGTAGACCTAATGAAAGAGGTCTCTCTCGGTAATCACGATTCAAATGTTGTTACTTCATCGTTAATACTTCCACCCTTCCTCGAAAAAGAAGCCATGGTTGCTTTTGATGACGATTTGATGGCCATAAAAGAGAGGCTTTGTGGAGAACCAGCCAGACTCACTGTCATCCCAATTGTTGGTATGGGAGGTATTGGTAAGACCACTCTTGCTGCAAACGCTTATAATGACCTATTAATCACCGAGCATTTTCACACGGTGGAGGATCACGTAGGTCGAGGTCGCGGGCGCGAATGGAGGTTTGCGGTAGAGGAGCGTGCGGAGAGGAGGAGCACAAGCGCATAGCGTGGTTGGAGATAACGGCGCATACGCTGCGCGATTGGCGCATAATCAAGTTGAGAGTAGATCGGTGTTGTAGTTTTGTGTTAATCACTGTTGTGGAAGAATAATAATAAATATATTATTATTCATTCTCTTTTATTTTCATTATTTTTTTTTTCTGGGCGGCGCAGAGCGCGCACACGATGGGGCGCGGGGCGCAGGCGTATTGGGCGCGCGGGGAGCGGGACGCAGGTGTGTTGGGCACGCGGGGCGCGAACGTGCGATGTGGCATAGGGAGCGGGGCGCTCGCAAGGCTGGGGCGCGGGGCACGAGGCGCGCGCGGGACAGATGAGCGGGGCGCGAGGCGCGCGCGGTAGGGGAGTGGGGCGCGTGCACGCGACAAGCGCAGGGTTGGTGGGGCGCGCACGCGCGAGGAGGGCGCGCGCAGGCTGCGGCTGGGGTGTGGGGCGCCCGCTCGTGGGCTGCTTGGGAGCAGGGAGCCTGTGCGCGGGCTGCTGGGGAGCGAGGAGGGCTCGCGCGGGCGAGCGGTCAGGGAGCGCGTGGGCTACTGGGGAGCGGGGCGCGCGCTTGCGTGCTGCTGGGGCGCAGGGCGTGCGATGCAACTGGATTTTTTTTTGTTTGAGCTGGTTGATATCCACCCCATTGGGGGTTTTCTTATCCTTGGGGTAGAGAAATGATACGCAACTTTTAGGATGGGATGTCTAATTCTTTTGGATAGAAATGTAAGAGGGTTTACCACCCTTGAGATGAGATGTTCAACCAATGGAATGAGATGCCCAACCTTGGGGCGAGATAGCCCCCCAGCTTAGGATGAGGCGATCACGAACCTTATTTTTTTTTTTATTTTTTTTTTTTTTGAGTAAATTCAAATTCATTACAAGGGGAAGTAGGGTAGGGGGGGACTCGAACCATTGACCTTCATCCTATTGGTAAAGGCTAGGTACCAACTCTTCTAATGAGGGTTGGTCGATCACGAACCTTGTTATTGTGTTGAAATAATCCAAATGTCATTAACATAGTTGGAAGGAGGAGCTTGTAAGGGTGAGGTGTTGCCTCTTGGAGGTGAATGTGTGTGTTGTTTCCCAATTCGTATTTCTCGGCGATGAGTGGATTGTTGTATCCGAAATCGAGGGTCCGAAGTGGATGCCCACGACACACTCGTTTGGTGGTCGTTACCTTATAGCGGTGGATGTGCAACGGGTGGAGCCATAGAAGGAGCATTGAGTCCTGCTATGGCGATGTATTGTACCACTACTTTAGTGGCAACACAACTTGAATCTTCCGTGATTATACGCTGAAGGTCCTCTTCAGTTATCTGAACCGTTCGAGAAGCAAGTGGAAGTTGATGTTGAAACTTCCGCGATCATACGCTGAAGGCCCAATCGGTTATCTAAACCATTCGAGAAGCAAGTAGAAGTTAATCTTGTTGAAGCTTCCGCGATCATACGCTGAAGGTCCTTATCGGTTAACTAAATCGTTCGAGGAGCAAGTAGAAGTTGATCTTGTTGAAGCTTCAGCGATCATACGCTGAAGGTCCTCATCGGTTGTCTGAACCATTCGAGGAGCAAGTAGAAGTTCATCTTGTTGAAGCTTCCGCGATCATACGCTGAAGGTCCTCATCGGTTATCTGAACTGTTCAAGGTGCAAGTAGAAGTTGATCCTGTTGAGGACCCAGTGGGGCCTCGCGAGGATGAACTTGTGTTGGATCCCGAATGCGGGGAGGGGAATTGGCAAGCCAGAGCCTCCATGAGGTGGGAGGTTGTTAGCGTTGAAGGGCCTCATCGGTTATTTGAACCGTTCGAAGGGCGGGAATAAGTGGATCCTGTTGAGTATCTAGTGGGACATCACGAGGAGGGTCTCATGGTGGATCCCTAGCACGGGGAGGAGGAAGTGGCAAGCTAGAGCCTCCACGAGGTGGGAGGTTTTTAGCAGTGTCACACTCCCCTGAGCAGATGTCTCAAGGCCATCTTGCGCGCTACGTGATCTTGTCTGCCTTTCCACAGACGACGCCAAAATGATGATGCTAATTACTTAGATCACCTGGGATAGTGTGGTAAATGTGTTGGAAGAGCAAAGTGGATCAGTAGCTCGCCAATTAGATGGTCATGAGGTCCCTGCGAAATAAACACACGTGAACTAAGCTGGGTGTTAATCCGGCGGAAACCCCTCTGACGCTCAAGTCAGATGTACGGATCGTGGAGATGGTAGAGAGAATATGTGCTCTAGAATACTGGTGAATAATAGAACGTATCTTAACAAATGAGTAAAAACCTCTATTTATATGTCGTTGGTTGGGTTGGGTTCACTTTGTTGGGCCCAAGCTTTTTTTAAGGTGTTTGGGCTTTCGTGCAGCGGGCCCAATTATTAGATAAATTGTGGGGCCTTGGGTCGACCCAATTAGGTATTACAACCACTGGCACTATGCAATTTCACTACTTTCGGTGAAGAAATTGTGTATTTGGTCTTCCACCAATTCCATTGAATTTTACACAAAATAATAAATAAATAATATTACATCATTTTCCTATTGACATAGAATAGCATTTGATTTGCTCTCCCATAGTATTTTACCAAATATATCACAAAATAACAAATTAAATGTTAATCATAATTTTAGTCTATTTGATTTTCAAAATATTGATTTATAGATCCGGGTATAAGTATATTGATTATATAATCTAGCTGATCACCTTTATCCCACAAATGTGCTACCAACCTTTTCTTTCTTCATTATTATGTTCTCCTTGATTTATCAGATTTCTGATAATGCATATATTTAGGCTCGTTCGGCTGTCGTTATAAGGTTCTAGAATAAATAGTAGGGGCTAATAACATGTCCGGTTGGCAAAATTCACATTTTTTCAAACCCGATACTAAAATCAAAGCCCGCTATTAAATGTTACTTTTTCATTAAATTAGTATAGCACCATTCCTCCTGAGATTAATTTAATAGGGGTGACTAAAAAGGAAAAAATACAATTTTATCCTTAAAATCATATTTTGTTATTGTAAACTAAGTGGTTTTATAGACAATTCATATATAATAACTGATTTTAATAAATTTAATAGAAAATCTAATCAAAGAAACCGAACATGCTACTAACTAAATAACTAATTAGTCAGTAGGGAGTTAATCCAATCTCATGTAAGGACCAAACACATTTATATTCATTTAAAAAATAAAAATAATATAATAATAAAATAAATGAATTATATTTTGAACACTAATTAATTAATTAATTAACTAATATATTTACTATAAATATATTTATAAATTGGTAATCATATGAAAGGTTAATGTAATAATTTTATATCCTAATTATAAAATGGTGTTACTTACACGAAATCCTATTTTAAATTTTATATTTAATAGGAAAAATAGAATTTGGAGGAGGATGGAAGATGCCCTAACAGCAGGTTTATGTACAAATCTGAGAACAAACGGTCGTATTTGTTAGTGAAGTTAGTGGGTATATATTATATTCAATCCACTAATTTGCACCTAAACTAGATTATGATGGAATTGACTATGTACAGCTTGTCACCTAATCATTGTCCAACCCTAGCTTGGTTGTAGAGAGGTCACGCTTCTTCCATTAATTATTAAATTGATTTATATTTTCCCTCTCAGATTTCGTCACAAGTTTCTATCAAGTTAAACATAGAAGAATCCAGAATATATTTTTAGGGTCAGTTCTGACTATAGGCGGAGAGACGGTCGCCTCGATCACCTGATTTTTACGAAAAAATAGGGGTCCTCAAATAATTTTTTCTACACTTAAAATATACTAGTCATTGTCATAGTATTAAACGATATTTAACATATATAAAATATTTCAACAATTTGAAAAACCATAACCTATGTAGAACGAAAACTTGAACTTCATAACGTTTCCACATTTTGTGTTGGCACTCGAAGACACCTGTCGGACCCCTTTATCTGATGGACAATTTTGTAATTTCTAAAAAGTTAGAAACATGTTTGAGTAGTAAAGTTTCAAATAATTTTGTTGATTCCCTAATTATTTACATGATTGAATGATCAATTGTCAATTGATAGTTGATAGTAAAATTTATTTTGAATACATTTGCATAAAATTTATAGTTGATTGTCCGTTTACTCGTTTCCATGAATCACCGTTTCCGTATCCTTGCTACATATACCATAATTATATTATTTTACATATATAGTTTAAGTATTTGTCGGGATTTTTTACACTTATGCTTGTATTTGATGTGAATGGAATCTTTCAGATCAATCTATATATAATATAAAAAGAGAATCTATGCCCTCAATGATTGACATGTGGCAAATGATGATGTCATTTGTCAAAATTGCTTAGTTGGAGTTCAATTGATGAGGTGGATTCTTCAATTGATTATGTGTCATTTTTATTTAGGTATGTTTTTAAGTTCTTTCCTATTTCACATTTACACAATCATTTAATAATTACCACATATTTATATATAATATTTCAGGAATTTAATTTCCTATCATTTCTAAAAATATTATATTTTTTATAGTTTTAATTTTTTGAACTATATTTTTCGTCTGTTCTTTTTTTTTTTTAAATTCAGAACACTCAATTTTTTAACGAATATTCGATTTTTTATATCATATTTTACACACTATTTTTTTATAGCGAAATAATTATTATTATATTTAATTATCAATACACGGTTGATTAATTGTTTTTATCTCACGTTTTTAATTTAATTTTCCGAAATATATTTTTCGAATGTCTTTTTTTATTAAAAATAGAACACTCATTTTTTATGATATATATTTTGGAATTTAGTTTTTTAAATAATAATATTCGAAAATAATAATAATAATACTAATAATTATTATTTTTACAAATCATTAATAATTATTAATCACTATACATGGATTTTTTTTGTTTAAATATTTTGCTAACTTAATGTATATGTATTAATTTAATTTTATAAATATTAATAACTAAACAACATTTAAAATTTGAAATTAAAATTTTTGTATTCCAAATTTTGAATTTCAAATATTTTTTTACTATAAATTATCAATCATTCCCCAATTTTATGTCATATAATTTGATTTCTTACCTATTTAAGTTGATTGGTTTTGATTCATATGGTTAATTCATGGAAAATATCTAATCAAATAATTGGTAAGATTATAACATTAAATGTGTATTTCCATAAGAACTTACTATTTATTTTTTTATTATATAAAATTCAAGTATAAATGCCCTTCATTCCAATCCATTTCACTCACTCATACTCTCCACCCGAATTTTACACTCGCATAAAAATAAAAAAAATAGGTCAGCCCGAAATGGCTGCAAAGAGGAAATATTGTATTTTTTTGTTGTTAATATATTCATAGTTTTACATGTTCTTTATTTCATTATTTTGATATAATGTATGTGTCTAATGGTTATTTACACATATACATGTATTTAGTCTAACATGTTATTTGTAGTTTGTTTATGTTATTTTTGTAGATATTATGGATAATATCGACATATGGGCTATGTGTGACGACATTGGTTGCGTCAAAGGAATAGAAAGAATTTCGTGAATCTCATATGAATTGTGCGAGAAAAAATACTCATTTTTTTCAATCCTTAAAAGACCGTCATCGAAGTGATAAATGTAAAACATTATATGCAATTATCAATTTTCTATTCTTTATATATATGTCTGTAATTATTTTTAATATTGTTTCATCAAGCTCATTTAGTATATGGTTATATATGCAATTTCGCTATTTAAAATTTTATATATTTTATTTTTTAATTCGTGTAAAGTTGGATCATCTGTCGTTTGTTTTTGGAAACTTATTGTTTTCGTCTTTTTTTCTTGATTTGTTTCACTTAACTACATTGAAATGTTGAGTGCTAATATATTATCACTAATTCATTATATAGTAATTATATTGTTTTATAATTGTACATTAATTTAGTTTATTAATGCATTATTATATTAATGGAATGGTAATATGTCAATTAATGGAATAAAATATTGTATCGAGTTGTCCTTTTTATATACTCAATCTTAGGAAATTATAATATATTAATTGAATAGTAATATGTCAATTAATGGAATGAAATATATTTAAATTGTCATAAATAATTTAATAAATGGTATATATAAGTAACATATTTCAATATTATTCCATTAAATATTTAATGAAGTAATAAAACGCATTATTAACTAGATTTTTATTTTTTATTACATTTATTACGAATTAATTATTTTAATAATTTTTAATTATATAAATTACTTTATTTATTTAATTTTCCTAGCATTTTTCATTATGATTTTTTTTTTGTATTTTCGATAATGTTGTAACATAAGTATTTGTAATGATTATTTTGCATATCAACTTATACTTTAGAGAAGAAAAAAAAATATGTCTTACATTAGCATAAAATAATAATTTGATTTGATTTGTTTGATATTCTTATTAAAAGTATTGATTTTAAGGATAAGATTAATGACTTGATTTCATTTGTTTGATATTCTTATTTAAAGTATGAATTTTAAGGATATGATTGATCACTGATTTTATTTGTTTATTTATTTTTTGTTATGTTTGTCTTTGTTATATACAAATTGATATTATTTAGGTTTCTATTTATTACTGTATCAAATCAATGTGTGTATTATGCTAAATAAATTATGAGCATAATATTTTATACCTAATAAACACATAAAAGTGGTAATATTTTAAAAGCCATGTTATATTAAAATTGGTTACTTTTGTTATGTTTCCTTGGTTATGTTATTTCTGATTTTGATTAATTCATTACTATTTAATGTTATTATCAAATCAATACATGTGATTTGAATAATTTTTTTAGTAACCCCTAACAATCGCATTTATTTATTATGCATCTCAATAATTTCGGATTCTTATTAATTCTAATTGTTTGAATTTGTTTGATTTGTTCTAACCGAGTAACACAAAAAATAATAAAATATATTGTTTGCTTAAAGTTATTTTATTAACTTATTTAGTATGTGAAAATGAAGTATAAAGACCATCAACACAAACTGATCATTTATCTCATTCTTTCTCAACACGTTTTGTTATGATCATGCTAAACCAAGGTCCTCACCTTAAAACTTTTTTTTCTTCATATTTATGTTTTGTAATTTCATAATGCGATCAGTATTGTGCGATGTGCATGCTCGCTTTGAAGCATTTTTCAGTAATGAATCAGCTTACTCTATTGGTTCGTATCAGTTAACTAGTTTAAAATCAATTGAATAAGTTAATTCAAATAATTTCACTCAATTGTAAATTAGTTATTTTTGGTTTTTGGCCCAAATGTGTTTTGGGCCATAGAGCCCAATTGTCATCAGTTATTATACACCACCATTTGAGTTAGGCCCAAAAGAGTAAGTGAGCCCAAGTCCAGATCTGAGCCAAATCCATCCGTTGGATTTCTGGCTAAATCTGGACCGTTAATCCCCTCACTTAAATACTCTCTTCTCTCTCCTCTTGCCTCTCATTCTGAAACCCTACCTCTTCTCTCTTCTTCTCCGCCGCTCCTGCTTCTGTCTTCTTCCTCCCTTGTACTGCCTTGACTGAGTTATAGCTGGAGGTCAAAGAGCATGGTACAGTGCTGACTTTGACTCTCCGGTACAGCCTTCACCGGCTCTATTTGACTTCAGTCTCTTTAAATACTGGCATGGAGGTTGGAAGAGGGTAAGACAGAGAAAGCCCTAAATACGACCTAAATCCCTCAGTTTTCTACTTCGTGAGTTCTGAAATTGGGGTTTTGGTGAGTGGGTAAGCTTGAGTGCTTGATCTGTTCTTCATTTGTGGTTTTCTGGGTAATCTAGGGTTTGAGTGTTGAGAGAGAAAGAAGATCTGTTCTTCTTGAGGTACTCTGGTGGTGTATATTGGATGTGTGAATCTCTGTTGTGATAATTGGAAGACTAAGCTGAAAATCTCAATCTATTTATTTTGCCATTTATTCAACCTTTCATTCTTTTCTTTCCTTTATACATATCTATCTATATATATATATATATATATATATATATATATATATATATATATATATATATATATATATATATATATATATATATATATATATATATATATATATATATATATATATATATATATATATATATATATATATATATATATATATATATATATATATATATATATATATATATATATTCTCCTTGGCAGTAATCAATACTGCTCAAGGGGGACTTATATATTTATCAGTAGGTTTATGGAGCTGGGCTGTTTGATACCCTACAGTGGTATCAGAGCTATGGCTATATGTCACGGCCCGCGAGTTTTGACCCAACCCCTTGTCGATTTCCCTTGAGTTGGGGAGGTTAAAGAGTCCAAGAATTAGCCCAAGTAGGGTTAGGCCCAAGTTGGCCCAATTGTATAGTGGTAGGTAGAGCCATTTTTGGTAGGTAGAGGTAGGTGGTGGTAGGTAGAGACAATCAAGGGATTGTTCCGCTCCCATCCGTTAGATCATATCGATCTCCACCGTCCATTGAGGAGGTGGTCTTGTATAAATAGAGGTAGGGTCCCCATTTGTATTCATTCAAGAAATCCAACAAATCCAACAATACTCTAGCAATAAAGTACTTTTCCTACCAACTCTCTTGTCTTCTTACTTTCTTTCTTCGTTTCCCATCACTTAGCATTCGCAACACAATTCGGGAGAGGCTGACTTAGCTATCGCGAGGGGCGAGAAGGAGCTAAGGCCGCACGGTTCTTTGTTAAGGGAACAAGTCCGTGACAAGTGGTATCAGAGCTCGGCTAAGGGCTTTGTGTTGATCGAATACTCACCGATGGCGAACGTCGAAGATATTTCGTACGTAACTGAGGGACGTGGCAGGGAGGCCCACGTAAACAACAAGAAGAAGAGGGACCACAACAAGGCTCGTGGGGAGAGTACCAGTACCGAGGCCGTGCTAACGGATCATGGCGAAAGACTCGAGAGGCTCGAGAATAACATCGCCATAGCGGAGCTTAGCGAAAGATTCGAGAAGCTCGAGCACGATACGGAGGTGTTGGAGAATCACGTCGCCGAGCAACTCGACTTGTTTAGGGACAATGAGACGTTGCGGGAGGAACGGTTGGATCGATTTGAGGCTATCATCCAATCCCTCCAAGACAGCATCGAGGGAATGCGCGACGACTTGGCCTTGTGCAAAAAGGCCGCCGCTAACGGTAGCGTTGGTGTTACTTCGAGTCCAAGGGTGGACTGCCTGAAGCCAACGGGATTCAACGGCGTAAGGGACGCCAAGGAAGTCGAGAACTTCCTATGGAGGATGGAGCAATACTTCGAGGGTATCGGTCTAGTCGACGAGACGACTAAGGTAAGAACTTCTTCCCTTTACCTTTCCGATACAGCAATGTTGTGGTGGCGTAGAAAGCACGCCGATATCGAGAAAGGCATTTGCCGAATCGATACTTGGGAAGAGTTCAAGAGGGAACTCAAGCGACACTTCTACCCGGAGAACGTCGTTTATGAGGCTCGAAGGAGGTTGAGGGAACTCAAGCAACGAAGTTCAATCCGCGAGTACGTGACGGAGTTCACCACCCTCACCCTTCAAATTCCCAACCTTTCCGAGGAGGACCTTCTTTTCCACTTCACCGATGGGTTACAAGGCTGGGCCAAGCAAGAACTCCACCGACGAGACATCAAATCCGTCGATGAAGCTATTGCCGCCGCCGAGTCTTTAACCGAGTATCAACCGAGAGAGCCGTTGCGAAAAGAGAAGTGGAGCCCGACTAAAGGCGGAGAAGAGAGACGGGACAATCATGGTCGGGACTACCGAGACAACCGAGACCCAAGGCGAGCGTCAACCTCGAGGGGAGGAGACAAAACATCCTCACGCCATCAACTTGAAGAGAAGAAGAAGTCGTTTGTGCCTAAGGGAGGATGCTTCGTGTGCCAACATGGGATCGCTCCAACTTCTGAACGCCTTAAAGGCTAATCCGATGCCGGCAACATCAAGCAAGGGGCTGATGTACGTGGAGGCCCGCATCAACGATACCCCAACAAAGGTGATGGTAGACACGGGAGCGACCCACAACTTCATCACCGAAGACGAGGCCAAGAGGGTTGGCCTACGGTGGACTAGACGAGACGGTTGGCTCAAGGCCGTTAACGCGAAAGCACAACCGCTCAACGGTGTAGCACGAGACGCGGAGCTACACTTAGGCACTTGGAAGGGCCAAGTGGATTTTTCGGTAGCACCGATGGATGACTTCAAGGTGGTGCTAGGCATGGACTTCTTCCGCAAGGTAATGGCTATCCCAATGCCTTGTTTCAATTCGGTTTGCATTTTAGAGAAGGGGACACCTTGCATGGTGCCGGCCACCAGCGGCCCCACCAAGGAAGAAAGCACGCAACCAAGGCAACTGTCGGCCATACAAGTTGCCAAGGGAGTTCGACGGGGCGAGCCGACATTCTTAGCCGCTTTAAAGGAGGAAAGCCCGCCCAACGACAAAGAGGAGGACGTGCCACCGATCATCCAAACCGTCTTGGAGGTCAATCAAGACGTAATGCCACCGAATTTGCCCAACAAGCTTCCACCTAGGAGGGAGGTGGACCACGCTATCGAGTTGGAGCCGGGAGCTAAGCCACCCGCCATGGCTCCCTACCGCATGTCACCGCCGGAGCTTGAGGAGCTCCGAAAGCAACTTAACGAGTTGGTCGAGACGGGGAAGATCCGACCATCGAAGGCACCTTACGGCGCACCGGTCTTATTCCAAAAGAAGCACGATGGTTCTTTGAGGATGTGCGTGGACTACTGTTAAGTATATATTTTTATACTTTATTGTACCTTTTTATTTGAGCTTTTGGTGTGATTTAACGATAATTGGTGCTTAAAAAGTTGATTTATTGTATTTTATGTATAAATTGAAGTATTGGAAAAGTTTGGGGTCAAAACTGCAATTTTGGAGAAAATGGGCCAAAAGTGAAATAATCAAAAAATGCTGAAATTGGCTGAAAACAGGCCCGCACGGCCGTGCCAAAATTGGCCTATTTTTGGCACGGCCGTGCCAAATGCTGAATTTGGGCAGAAGGTTCGGCGATTCTCGCGCGGCCGTGCGAGAATTGCACTGATTTTCGCGCGGCCGTGCCAAATCACGTTGGAGGCAATTTTGGACTTTTAAACACACAAGGAAACCTAGAATCATCTACCAAGTTGGGACAACTATTTAAGCCCAAACCAAGCACGAATCACGGGAGACTTTTGACACAACCTTGGAGCAAGAGGAGCGAGAGAACGAAGAATTGAAGACGGAGAATTGACAACTCTTTATCACAATTCTTCTTTTATCTATCTTTTCTTAATCTTTTCTTTTTATGTTTTTATTTTGTTTATCATAAGAATTACGCGTAGATAAGTTTTTAATCTAGGATTTTGTCGGAACCCTATGTGGGGATGGTGAATCCGTTTTCTTGAGATTATGCAATTATGATTTTATGATTATTTCTTATACTTGTTATGATTGTTAGTGCATGAACTTGATCAATTTATGTGCTTTATCTGTGATTATTGGGATTGACTCGATAGAGCTATTTTGATAATTAGACGGTAAGTATAAGAACCTTCGAGTAGTTTTCACCGGATGAGTGTGTCAATTGCATGTGGTGTCGTAGACATACAGATATCACCTTAGGTAGCCAATTACGAGACTTGTTAGTTAATGCTTTATTCATAATTTGTTCGCATAGACATATAGTGAACCGTTTATGAATAATAGACTCATAATACACGCGACAGCGGGTTATGAGTAAATTAGTGTCTCGGGTTAATAATCATGAATCATATATTTCATAATTGAGGGGTTTTGGGTGAGCAATTCTTGCATAGGGGGAAGATAAAATCCTAGATCCGTTTTTACATTGATACTTTTTCGTATTTATTTGCTTTTTTAATTAGTTTAATTTATTTAGTTGATTAATTTGACAACCTTGCGTAGGCTGGATAAAAATCGTAATTGTTAAAATTTGGTACTTAGGATTAAATAATTTGCGTATTCCCTGTGGGATCGACATCCGACTCTCACGAGTCCACTTTTACTACTTGTTCGCGATACGTACACTTGCGTGTGGGTATTTAGCACCCAACAAGTTTTTGGCGCCGTTGCCGGGGAATACGGCTAAATTATCTATTTATTCTAATATCAAATTTGAGCAATTTTTCTTACTTCAGCCATTTAATTTTTATTTTTATTTTTATTTTTAATTTTTATTTTTTGTTGTTTTTGTTTCATGTCTGGTTACAATGTTCGGGCACCTCAAACGGGATATGAATGGCTTACATCTGACGAATACCTCCAAAACACCTATGATATGCCTCCGTTTTGTTCAGCATGTGGTGGAAATCATTATTCCGATCAATGTTGGGTATCACCAATAGCGACGAATTTCGACGAAATTACCAACGGAGGTTATCGGAACACTTACACCCACAACTTATACGAGCAAAGCTTTCAAGATCAAGATTTGAACGAGTTTCAACATAGAGAGCCACAATTTGATGATTTTCAAAATTATTATCCAATGCAGCAGCAGCAGACCACTGATGACCAACCTGATTTGGTATCCATCATTGGCGAATTCATGAAGTCCACTCAAGCATCATTTCGAAACATGGAGATACAATTGGAAGAGATGACACTCAAATTAAAATCTGAGTCGCTTGAAAATATTCCAGACGAAATCGACAATGGTTATATCAAAGAAAATTTGGGTGAAGTCTGCGGTGAGAAACAATTTCCATGTCCAGAAAATATTGTCGATATGCGAGAAATAGAAATTACGAAGACACTTGAACATGATGAATCAGAGAAGGCAATCGAGCTAAACCACGAAGGTACCTCAGAACAAGAGAAGAAGGAGATGGATGTAATGATTGAAGAGATTCTAGTTGTGGACCATGTCGTTGATCTAAATGTGGATTTGAAGACATCAATAGTGGTCGATGAGAAAGCTAATGTGTTCGAGGTGGAGGTTATACGTAGACTGGAGATTTTTGTATACCGATTTGAGGGAGCGGCCGATGAACATCCTATCTTGGCTTCGTACCGATTGATTACCACAAAAAAAGACTACAAGCTAAGGTGTATCGTAACATATTGCAATGCTATCCAGGCCTTGGTGGAAATTGAAGTGATAGAGCTCATGGGTGGATGCGCAATCTACAAGGCTTTGGATTGGACATAACAATTTCAAGAAGGAAAGTCTGGCTGAAGACTTAAAACTTAGCGCTTCTCGGGAGGCAACCCGAGCATTTATCGATTTTCGTTATTTTTCTTTGTTTTTATTTTTCTTAGTATTTGTGCATGCGCAAACTAATAATTTAATCTTGTTTTAATTTTCAGGTCGAAAATCAAACACTAAGGGATCGGACGTTAAAGATCGAGCAAACGAACATCAAAGAGTGCATCCCTTGGAAGGACCTTCGACTAAGTCAGGTGTATTCTATCCTTAAACTTCGTGTTAATTACATTGAGGGCAATGTAAATTTTAAGTTTGGGGGTGGAAAATTACTTGTTTTATGTGCTTTAATTTTTAGTTTGCATGCCTTAGAATTTTTTTTTTTAGTTTAGTTATTGCTTTCGAAAAAAAAAAAAAATTGCTTGAGATAAATGCTTCGATGAATCATGATGATGAAAGATGGTCGATGTTTAATGATGAAATTGCTTGTTTTATCTTGATTTTGATCGAATTTTGGTGAGCTTTTGATTCAAAGTGTCGTAAGAAGGAGTCATTGTTAGGAATCTCGAATTATGCGTTGCTTTGGTTGAAAGTTTTGTGTTTTAAAATTTGAGTTAATTTATGTTATATCATATGCTATTCGGTTTTAGAACTTGTCTTATGAATTTACAAAGTGAAATATTAAATTGTTGAGTAAATTGGGAAGTGATTTGGGCCATCTTTGAACCGTTTGAGCCTTTCAAGCCTACCTTTAAATTTTTATCATTCGAACCTTGATTGAGCCTTGGAGAAACGGTGTTGTTTCTTTTAGCCAATGTGTATAAGGTAGAATAAGTGGAGATTTTTGAAAAATTAACCCTTGGAGTTCGGTCGAATTTTTTTATAAGGTCCTTCTTCTTCTTCGGTAAAAAGAAAAAAAAAAGAGAAAAAAAAAAAGAGAAATATAAAAAAAATATAAAAAAAGAGAAAAAAAAAAAAAAAAAAAAAAAAAGAAGAAGAAGAAGAGACTAGAAGGGAAGTAAGGACTAGTTGTTGAACTGTTTTGAAAGCTCGATCCATTGTCTTAAGAGCAAAAGTGGAGACTTTTGAACTCTTAAGAATCGAGTGTATTAAAGTCCTTAGAGGTGAATTCATTGTTTCAAACGCCTATCTATCAAAATTTGGCGTAATCATCTCAATTCAAGAAGCATAGCCACCTATACCCATATCTCCTACCTCGAACCAAAAAGCCCAACATTTGAAAGCCAAAAAGTCCCAATGATCCCAATAGCTCAATTAGTTGATACTAGCCGAGTAAAGAAATTTGGTGAGTATTTGGAGTTGAATATTAATATGTAAGTATAAATTTTCTCAATTTTTAATGCACAAATATGGGATACTTGAAGCGATAGCATGGTTTGTGGTTTTTAGCAATGGTGAGTGAATACGTATCTTTGAATTACGAGCTTGTAATTTTTTGAGAATTGTCATGATAATTGCAAGTTCTGAAAAAATGAAAGTTGACCATTAATCTATGTGATGAGAGGCATTTGTTGAGAGTGTTGCTGTGAAAGTTGCTAGTTTTTGCTTGAGGACAAACAAAAGATCAAGTTTGGGGGTGTGTTAAGTATATATTTTTATACTTTATTGTACCTTTTTATTTGAGCTTTTGGTGTGATTTAACGATAATTGGTGCTTAAAAAGTTGATTTATTGTATTTTATGTATAAATTGAAGTATTGGAAAAGTTTGGGGTCAAAACTGCAATTTTGGAGAAAATGGGCCAAAAGTGAAATAATCAAAAAATGCTGAAATTGGCTGAAAACAGGCCCGCACGGCCGTGCCAAAATTGGCCTATTTTTGGCACGGCCGTGCCAAATGCTGAATTTGGGCAGAAGGTTCGGCGATTCTCGCGCGGCCGTGCGAGAATTTCACTGATTTTCGCGCGGCCGTGCCAAATCACGTTGGAGGCAATTTTGGACTTTTAAACACACAAGGAAACCTAGAATCATCTACCAAGTTGGGACAACTATTTAAGCCCAAACCAAGCACGAATCACGGGAGACTTTTGACACAACCTTGGAGCAAGAGGAGCGAGAGAACGAAGAATTGAAGACGGAGAATTGACAACTCTTTATCACAATTCTTCTTTTATCTATCTTTTCTTAATCTTTTCTTTTTATGTTTTTATTTTGTTTATCATAAGAATTACGCGTAGATAAGTTTTTAATCTAGGATTTTGTCGGAACCCTATGTGGGGATGGTGAATCCGTTTTCTTGAGATTATGCAATTATGATTTTATGATTATTTCTTATACTTGTTATGATTGTTAGTGCATGAACTTGATCAATTTATGTGCTTTATCTGTGATTATTGGGATTGACTCGATAGAGCTATTTTGATAATTAGACGGTAAGTATAAGAACCTTCGAGTAGTTTTCACCGGATGAGTGTGTCAATTGCATGTGGTGTCGTAGACATACAGATATCACCTTAGGTAGCCAATTACGAGACTTGTTAGTTAATGCTTTATTCATAATTTGTTCGCATAGACATATAGTGAACCGTTTATGAATAATAGACTCATAATACACGCGACAGCGGGTTATGAGTAAATTAGTGTCTCGGGTTAATAATCATGAATCATATATTTCATAATTGAGGGGTTTTGGGTGAGCAATTCTTGCATAGGGGGAAGATAAAATCCTAGATCCGTTTTTACATTGATACTTTTTCGTATTTATTTGCTTTTTTAATTAGTTTAATTTATTTAGTTGATTAATTTGACAACCTTGCGTAGGCTGGATAAAAATCGTAATTGTTAAAATTTGGTACTTAGGATTAAATAATTTGCGTATTCCCTGTGGGATCGACATCCGACTCTCACGAGTCCACTTTTACTACTTGTTCGCGATACGTACACTTGCGTGTGGGTATTTAGCACCCAACAACTACCGGGCGCTAAACAAGGTAACCATTAAGAATAAGTACCCTATTCCCTTGATAGCCGATTTGTTTGATAGGCTTGGTAAAGCCAAGATATACACGAAGATGGACTTGCAAAAGGGCTATTACCAAGTTCGCATTGCCGAAGGGGACGAGCCAAAGACAACGTGCATCACTCGATACGGATCTTACGAGTGGCTTGTCATGCCGTTCGGGTTAACCAACGCCCCGGCAACATTTTGCACTCTCATGAACAAGATTTTCCATCCATACTTAGATCGGTTCGTGGTGGTCTACTTGGACGACATTGTTGTGTATAGCGACACCATGGAGGAGCATGTCAACCACCTTCGCACCGTCTTCCAATTACTTCGGGAAAACGAGCTGTTCGTGAAGAAAGAGAAGTGCGAGTTTGCCAAGGAGGAGGTCCAATTCTTGGGGCATATCATCGGGCACGGACGACTCCAAATGGATGGAGCGAAGATCAAGGCTATCACCGAGTGGGAACCGCCGACTAAGGTAACCGAGTTACGATCTTTTCTTGGTCTCATCAATTACTATAGGCGGTTCATAAAAGGGTACTCGGCACGAGCGGCGCCACTAACCGACTTACTCAAGAAGAACAAGACGTGGGAGTGGCCCGACTCATGCCAACGGGCGTTCGAGGACTTAAACGCAGCGGTGAGCCAAGAGCCGGTCCTCGCCTTACCGGACTTTAGGAAGTCGTTCGAGTTGCACACGGACGCTTCCGACTTTGCAATTGGAGGGGTCTTGATGCAAGAGGGGCATCCGATCGCCTTCGAGAGCCGAAAGCTCAACGAGACGGAACGGCGCTACACGGTCCAAGAGAAGGAGATGACCGCCATCATCCATTGCCTTCGAGTATGGCGGCACTATCTATTAGGCGCACCGTTCGTGGTCAAGACCGACAACATTGCCACGAGTTACTTCCAAACGCAAAAGAAGCTCTCGCCAAAGCAAGCACGGTGGCAAGACTTTTTAGCGGAGTTCGACTACGTTTTGGAGTACAAACCGGGGAAGGCAAACGTTGTGGCCGATGCTTTGAGTAGAAAAGCCGAACTCGCAGCGATTAGCTCGACAAGGAGGAACTTGGCCGACATGATCCGAGAAGGGCTCGAACATGATCCAATGGCCAAGGAGCTAATTCGACTCGTCAAGGAGGGCAATTTCAAGATCGTCCGCACTGATTCGAGGCAACAAGGACGTCGCCGGATTAGGCGGGGGAGGATGTCACGGCCCGCGAGTTTTGACCCAACCCCTTGTCGATTTCCCTTGAGTTGGGGAGGTTAAAGAGTCCAAGAATTAGCCCAAGTAGGGTTAGGCCCAAGTTGGCCCAATTGTATAGTGGTAGGTAGAGACAATCAAGGGATTGTTCCGCTCCCATCCGTTAGATCATATCGATCTCCACCGTCCATTGAGGAGGTGGTCTTGTATAAATAGAGGTAGGGTCCTCATTTGTATTCATTCAAGAAATCCAACAAATCCAACAATACTCTAGCAATAAAATACTTTTCCTACCAACTCTCTTGTCTTCTTACTTTCTTTCTTCGTTTCCCATCACTTAGCATTCGCAACACAATTCGGGAGAGGCTGACTTAGCTATCGCGAGGGGCGAGAAGGAGCTAAGGCCGCACGGTTCTTTGTTAAGGGAACAAGTCCGTGACATATAGCTTAGCTCTATTCAAAGCGGAGTATCAAAACCTAACTTGGTTTTGTCAAGGTAACACCTCAGAAACCCTAGTTTTCATTTCCTGTACGTTGACCTGTGGAGTTTGGGAGCCCTGTGTGGCTATTGAGTTGGCCCTGTGTGGCGTGGTGGCCCTGTATGGCATTATGTGGCCCTGTGTGGCATTATCTGGCCTTACTTGATCTTTTCCTCTATTCTGTTTTGTTATTTTTCCGCACTTAGTGTAGCTTAGGATTGCTCTCATCAACCCTTTCTTGTCCGGACCACCTTAGTGTCGCAGGAATCTGGAAAGGGGGGGGGGCAATCTGATTATCCGTTGTGTTACTCTGTAATTCTGTGTGATTCTGTGTGACTCTGTGTGATTCTGTGTGATAAGGAACGTCAAATTGGATTCGTGTTGCAAAATAACTATTTAATTCGGAGAAGAGTTATTAATGGACATGGGTGGAAATATCGAAAGAAATTATGGAAAAATAAGGGTTTTCGACGAACTCAAATCGTAGTTGAGTACGAAACGAACTCTATCTCAAGTGAAACGGCGCAAGGAACAAAACTCATGAGCTTTGCTCATGAATCACGTCCAATTTCAGCAATCCAACGTCGTTTAGACTCCCAAAAGTTCGTTTTTGCTATTTTAGGTAAGTTTTAGAAAATTAATATCAAATCATAGAAAAATCGGATTAGGATTCCGTAAATTGGGTTGTTCCCAAAATTACGAGATCTACTAGAATCAGACTCTAACTCGTTTTTGCCGTTTTTGGTAATTTTTATTATTTTCTTAGTTTAATTAGGGTTTTCAGTTTTTTAGTATAAATAGGTGCCTTAGGACTTTATTTTAAGGGGAATTTCGAATTTTAATAAAATATTTAGAGTTTTCTCTATTTTTCTGGTGGATTCCAGAGTTTTCGGTGGATTCCGAATGTTATCGTGTTCTATAGGATTAATTCGTAGAAATTAATTCTTTACCGTGCTTCCGTTCTGCGTCAGTTGGCATCAGTAGCGAGGTTTTTCCTGGTTAGATGGCGAAAGGTGCAAGATATGGAGACAAAAACTACGTTGGCGATGACCGCGGGGTTGAGAAACTGCAAAATCTGAGGTTGGTACGCGAGGGATTTGCCCTTGACAACAACAACAGAAGAACTGGATCTAGCATGGGTATTGCCGACGGTGTAGCCCGAGGTGCATATGTTAGACACAATTATCATGGATCTGCTCAACTTCAATCAAGGTATGACGATTATTCAAAGGTGAGCGGCAACTCTGATTTTGAAGAAAATCCGCCTATAAAGAGGCAAAAAGATCGTGATAAATATCGGGTAAGAGCTGAAATTCCTTCTTTTAGTGGAAATTTTCTTGAAGTTGAGGATTTTATCGATTGGGTGTCAGAAGTTGAAAATTATTTTGAATTGATGGGTATTTTGCCGAATAAGATGGTAAAATTGGTTAGGTGTGAGTTAAAGGGTTGTGCAGCCGCATGGTGGGATGAAATACAGATGAAGAGAGCTAAACAAGAAAAATTTCCAATCCAATCATGGAGTAGGATGAGAAAAATGTTGATGGATCGTTTTTTACCCCTAGGTTATGAGCAACGTCTATTTCAACTATATCGTAATTGTTCGCAAGGGAGTAGATCTGTTAACAAGTATACTGCTGAGTTTATGAGACTAGCAAACTTAAATAACCTGCAAGAATCCGAAAGTATGGAAATTTCAAGGTACTTGCAAGGATTGAATATTTCAATCCGTCTTAGGATGGGGTGGCGCGCATTCGACTCCCTTGAAGAGGCTGAAGAGTTTGCATGGAGCGAGGAATATTATCAGAAGCGAAATAGTTCTTCTAGAAAAATCAAAGATGTTCCACCCGTTGCCAAAGTTAAGGAGGTACAAGATACTTCATTCGTTATTCAAGCACCCAGTTTGGTGGAGGATCATGGCGTACGAGTTAACGAAGTTGAAGACGAAATTGTTGATGCAAAAGTTAAAATTAGCGTAGCTATGATTAACGATGACATTAACGAAATCAAGGTGAAAGTCGGTGAAGTTGAAGGGAGAGTCAACGAGGTTGAAGAGAGCATCAATAAAGTCGAAGAGAGCGTCAACGGGATAGAAGAGAACTTTAGCAAGGTTGAAGAGAGAGTCGATGAGTTTAAAGAGGGTGTTAAAAACAAATTTGAGGAAGAATTTGAAGTTGTAAAATTTGTTCAAGAGGAGGAAGTTGCACGTGAAGAGAAGGAACAAGTGGATTGCGTTGAGGTATGTGATCTAATTGTAGATAGTGTTTGCTGTGAAGTTCATGTATCGGAGAAATTGGTGGAGCCATTGGGATTTTCGATTAAGAAGCCAATTTTTCCAACGCCTCGTTTGGAGGAAGATTTTGTAAGCGAGATTTCTATGCGGGGAATATTGGTGGAGCACTTGAAGTTGTTTGCAAAGAAATATGCATCGCTATATTTTGATCATAGCTCGAGGTCGAGCTCTTTTGAAGAAGAGGAGATTGATAAGGAACGTCAAATTGGATTCGTGTTGCAAAATAACTATTTAATTCGGAGAAGAGTTATTAATGGACATGGGTGGAAATATCGAAAGAAATTATGGAAAAATAAGGGTTTTCGACGAACTCAAATCGTAGTTGAGTACGAAACGAACTCTATCTCAAGTGAAACGGCGCAAGGAACAAAACTCATGAGCTTTGCTCATGAATCACGTCCAATTTCAGCAATCCAACGTCGTTTAGACTCCCAAAAGTTCGTTTTTGCTATTTTAGGTAAGTTTTAGAAAATTAATATCAAATCATAGAAAAATCGGATTAGGATTCCGTAAATTGGGTTGTTCCCAAAATTACGAGATCTACTAGAATCAGACTCTAACTCGTTTTTGCCGTTTTTGGTAATTTTTATTATTTTCTTAGTTTAATTAGGGTTTTCAGTTTTTTAGTATAAATAGGTGCCTTAGGACTTTATTTTAAGGGGAATTTCGAATTTTAATAAAATATTTAGAGTTTTCTCTATTTTTCTGGTGGATTCCAGAGTTTTCGGTGGATTCCGAATGTTATCGTGTTCTATAGGATTAATTCGTAGAAATTAATTCTTTACCGTGCTTCCGTTCTGCGTCACTGTGCCTTATCTGTGTGAAACTATGAATGCTTATCCCTTAGCTCATTTTGATGGAAAAGGGGATTTTCCTATTTGGCAACAGAAAATAAAAGGTGTTTTAGTACAACAAAAATGTTTTAAAGCTGTTACTTTAGCCTATGATGATACCACTACTGCTGCTAAGAAGGCAGAATTTGATGAACTTGCCTATTCTTTGATTATCTTGAACCTAAGTGACTCTGTGATTAGAAAACTAGGAAAACAAGATAATGCTAAAGCCTTATGGGATAAATTGGAAGAACTTTATACTGAAACCTCCTTGCCCTCCAAAATGTTTTTGTTAGAAAAATTCTTTAGATTCAAACTGGATTTAAACAAAGACATTGATGAAAACCTTGACATTTTTACAAAACTGGTTCAGGATATTAAGCTAACTGGAGACAAAAATATTGATGATTACTCTCCTATTGTTTTGTTAAATGCTATCCCTGATACTTACAGTGATGTAAAGTCAGCCATTAAGTATGGCAGAGATAAGGTTTCTTTGGACACTGTGATAAATGGTTTAAAAAGCAAAGAACTGGATTTAAAAACTACCAAGAGTAGTAAATCTTTTGGTCAAATCAATTTTGTGAAAGGGAAGCCTAAAAATCAGTTTCAAAACAAATTTCAAAACAAGGCTTCTTCTAGTAACCAAAACAAGTCTTTACAAAAACCTAAAAAGGGCAAGGGGTGGAATAAGTTTAAAGCCAAAGGCAGAAAGTGTTATAACTGTGGAAAAAATGGTCATTATGCTAATGAGTGTTCTGAGCCTAAAAAGGAAAGAACCAATGAACATGCTAATGTTGTGACTGATAACCTTGGTGATGTGTTTATGGTTGGTGATGTAATGCATGATTATGTGAACTCTGTGATCTCCTCTCTGTGTGATAATGATTGGATTTTTGACTCTGCATGCACCCATCATATGACACCTCATAGACATCTGTTTTCTTCTTATGTGAAACTGGAAAATGGTAATGTGTCTATGGCTGATAACAGTGAAAGAACTGTAGTTGGAATTGGAACAATCTGTCTAAAATTTGAATCTGGCTTTGAATTAATTCTTAAAAATGTTAGGCATGTTCCTAAACTAAGCAGTAATCTGTTATCTGTTGCTATTCTTGAAGATAGTGGTTTGCATGGTAATTGGGGAGATGGTTGTCAGAGAATCATGATGCATGATAAATTTGTTTTCAAAGCTGTTAGAATGCAAAATCTCTATTTGTGTTCTGCTGAACCTGTTTTGCATGCCAACACTGTTAATCATGACATGTCTGTTCTGTGGCATAAGAGGTTAGGTCATATAAGTGGTAAAGGTCTTGAAATTCTGCATAAGAATAATTATCTGAGTGATGATTGTGTGACTAATTTGCCTATATGTGATTCATGTATCCTTGGAAAACAAACTAAAGTTAAATTTCCTGTTTCCCCATTCCCCAATTCTTCTAAATGTTCAGACATACTTGAATATGTGCATGCTGATGTGTGGGGCAGGCCCCCAGTTCCTTCTCATGGTGGTAATAGATATTTTCTGTCTATTGTTGATGATTTTTCTTGGAAAGTGTTTGTGTTTTTACTCAAAAATAAATCTGATGTGTGTGAAAGATTTAAAAATTGGAAAATCTTGATTGAAAACCAAACTGGAAAGAAAATCAAAACTCTGAGAACTGATAATGGAACTGAATTCTGTAATGCTGAATTTGATAATCTATGTTCTGAATCTGGCATTAAGAGACATAAAACTGTTGTGTATACACCTCAACAAAATGGTATTGCAGAAAGAATGAATAGAACTTTGCTTGATAGAGTTAGATCTATGCTAAATTCTTCTGGCTTGAAAAAACCTTTTTAGGGTGGAGCTGTTCTTACAGCTGCTTATTTGATAAATAGGTCTCCTTCTGTGCCCTTGAATGGGGAATTGCCTGAATCTAAATGGTGTGGTAAACCTGTTGATTTATCAAATTTGAAAGTTTTTGGCTGTACTGTGTTTGTTCATCAAAAACTTGATAAACTTGACCCCAGATCTGTGAAATGTGTTTTCTTAGGATACCCTGAAGGGGTTAAGGGGTATAGGTGTTGGTTGTATGGTGATCAGGGTTTTAAAACTGTGATTAGCAGGAATGTTATGTTTAATGAAAATGAATTTTCATGCTTATCTGTTTCTAATATTGTTTCACCTGATACCACTTCCTCTGAGGTGGAGATTCCACATGTTAATTATGTTCAAACTGAAAATGAAAACTCTGATGATGAAGTTGTTGATAATGAGATGCCTGAAAACACTGTTTTTGATCAAAATGTTAATCTTGATGTTCCCTCTGTGAATGATTTTGGTGATTACCAACTTGCTAGGGACAGAGATAGAAGAAACATTGTTAGGCCTCATCATTTGAATGATTACCAACTTGCTTCTCATGTGTTTCATGTGTTTGATTCTCTAGATGGTAATGAACCTAAGTCTTATAGGGAAGCTTTAAATTCTAATGAGTCTGTTGACTGGTTAAATGCAATGAATGATGAAATGAAGTCTTTACATGTTAACCATACTTGGATTCTTGTACCTAAACCTCCTACATGCTCTTTAGTTGACTGTAAGTGGTTGTTTAAGGTCAAACATGAGTCTGACTCTGTTAGATACAAAGCTAGGCTAGTGGCTAAGGGGATTACCCAAAAGGAAGGTATTGATTACACTGAAATATTTGCCCCTGTTGTGAAATTCACCATTGTTAGAATCATGCTTGCTTTGATTGCTCACTTTAACTGGGAATTAAAACAAATGGATGTGAAAACTGCTTTTCTACATGGTGAATTAAATGAGCAAATATATATGTGCCAGCCTGAGGGTTTTATTGATAAAAAACATCCTGATTATGTGTGTCTGCTAAAGAAATCTTTGTATGGACTGAAACAGTCTCCTAGGCAATGGAACAAGAAATTTGATGCATGCATGATGTCTTTAAAATTCAAAAGAAGTTCATTTGATCCATGCTTGTACTTTAAAGAATCTGCAAAAATTCCTGTGTTCTTGCTTATCTATGTAGATGACATGCTTCTTGCTAGTCCTTGCATTCAAACTGTTAATTTTGTGATTAAATGCCTTAGTGATGAGTTTGATATGAAACTTCTTGGTGATGCAAAAAGAATTATTGGCATGGACATAATCAGAGATAGACCTGGCTGTATTTTGTTTCTGAATCAATCCTCCTATATTGAGAAAATCCTTGATAAAATTTCTATGTTGTCTGCCAAACCTGTATCTGTTCCTCTTGCTTCTCATTTTTTGTTAAGTAAGGATCAGTCTCCCAAGACTGAACCTGAAATCTCTGAAATGAAAAATGTGCCATATGCCAATGCCATTGGGTCTGTTATGTATTTGATGGTTAGTACTAGGCCTGACATTGCATATTCTGTGAGTTGCTTGAGTAGATATATGTCTAATCCAGGTTTGCCTCATTGGGAGGCATTAAAATGGCTGCTTAGATATTTGAAAGGTACTGTTAATACTGGTTTGATGTTTTCTAAAGGCAAAACTGAAATTGAACTATGTGGTTATGTGGACTCAAACTTTGCCAATGATAGGGACAATAGAAAATCCTCTACCTCTTATGTGTTCACCTTAAATGGTGCTTGTGTTAGTTGGAAATCTCAACTCCAAAACATTGTTGCTCTGTCTACTACTGAATCTGAATATATAGCTGCTACTGAAGCTATAAAAGAAGCCATTTGGCTTAAAGGGCTGTTGTTGGAAGTTGATATTCTTAATTCCAAAGTGGTAGTATTTTCTGATAGTCAATCTGGCATTCAACTGTGCAAAAACCCTGTTTTTCATGACAGAACTAAACATATTGATGTGAAGTTCCATTTCATTAGGGATGTAGTTGAAAAAGGGGTTATTGACCTTGAGAAAATCCCATCTGAGTTCAATCCAGCTGACATGGGAACAAAATATCTGCCTTCTGAAAAATTCTGTTCTTGCTTGAAAAACTTGAACATTCTTTCCAAACCTTCACTTGATGTGTGCTAGTTTGTAGTCTGTGTGACTTGATATTTATGCTTTCTTTGTGATTGCTTGTTTAATCTTTTTCCGTGTGAATGAGATTGTGTTGTCTATGTGATTGCATTACTGCATTTTATTCTAAATGCATATAAGTTGTATTCTGAGTGAACACAACTTGATATACTTGTATGAACTGTGTGCTCCTACTGGTGTGTCAAAAATCAGCAATGATGACTTCCAAAAATTTTTTAGAAAATTTTCACTAATAATTCACATTTGGTCCAAGGTGGAGAATTGTTGGTTTTTGGCCCAAATGGGTTTTGGGCCATAGAGCCCAATTGCCATCAGTTATTATACACCACCATTTGAGTTAGGCCCAAAAGAGTAGGTGAGCCCAAGTCCAGATCTGAGCCAAATCCATCCGTTGGATTTCTGGCTAAATCTGGACCGTTAATCCCCTCACTTAAATACTCTCTTCTCTCTCCTCTTGCCTCTCATTCTGAAACCCTACCTCTTCTCTCTTCTTCTCCGCCGCTCCTGCTTCTGTCTTCTTCCTCCCTTGTACTGCCTTGACTGAGTTATAGCTGGAGGTCAAAGAGCATGGTACAGTGCTGACTTTGACTCTCCGGTACAGCCTTCACCGGCTCTATTTGACTTCAGTCCCTTTAAATACTGGCATGGAGGTTGGAAGAGGGTAAGACAGAGAAAACCCTAAATACGACCTAAATCCCTCAGTTTTCTACTTCGTGAGTTCTGAAATTGGGGTTTTGGTGAGTGGGTAAGCTTGAGTGCTTGATCTGTTCTTCCTTTGTGGTTTTCTGGGTAATCTAGGGTTTGAGTGTTGAGAGAGAAAGAAGATATGTTCTTCTTGTGGTACTCTGGTGGTGTATATTGGATGTGTGAATCTCTGTTGTGATAATTGGAAGACTGAGTTGAAAATCTCAATCTATTTATTTTTCCATTTATTCAACCTTTCATTCTTTTCTTTCCTTTATACATATCTATATATATATATATATATATATATATATATATATATATATATATATATATATATATATATATATATATATATATATATATATATATATATATATGCCACTATAAATAGGTGATTGCTTATTTATCATTTCACAACATCATCATCATCAACAACAACCATATTAACTAGAAGCATATAGAGCTTCTACAATATAATGGCGAGTATCTTATCGAGTTGCCGTAGGGATATTCGACCACCGGTCACCGTTTTTAGCCCCAGCATGTGGGGTGATACTTTCTCTACGTTTTCTTTCGACGAACAGGTATTCATATTTACCTCTATATATTTTTTACTAGAAGCAAATATTTTTGACTTTGCAACATGCTACATTGAATTAGACGACGCGCCCTATCATGTATAGTCTATGTAGCACAGACACGGGAACACGGACACGGGGAAACTCCGTTTTCCAAAAAGTTGGATACGTGAACGTGGGAAATGTGTAAATAATAAAAATATAGGGGTGCATACATAATTTCTAAAAAAATATTATAATATTTAATAGCATTCCATAAATTACATTCGGGACATATAAATTTATTTTAGTATGGAATTAACATCTACAAAAATATTAAAACACCACTAGAAGTGAAAAGGAGACATCATATTTAAGATTTTTTTTAAGCGTATGCAATTTGAAGTTTTTAATTCAAATGAAATTTGGATTTATTTTGTGTGGAAGCAAAATTTTTCATTATTATCATATCGTCCCCGAAACTTTTAAATATTTATGAAACAGCCCCGAGACGTTTCCGACAGGTATCGTGGAGTTTCGATTTCCGAAACGTGGAAACGCGTGTCGGTTGAAGTTTTCGTGCATCATAGTGTACAGTTAAATAAATTAAAAACTATGGTTTCGATTTTACTAGGTACAAGAAAAGTATGAAAAGGCCATAGAAACATTAAAGCAAGAAGTAAGAAGCAAGTTGGTGGAAGCAACATCCGGCAAACTGCTTATATCGGTTGACACACTCGAGCGTTTAGGGTTGGCTTATCATTTCGAAACGGAGATCGAAGAAAAACTCGAGCAAATTTACAACGAGGATCAAGAATTTGATGACTTGTTCACCACCGCACTTCGATTTCGTCTGTTAAGGCAACATCAGTATCAAGTTTCTTGCAGTATGTCCTTTTCGTTCTCTTTTCTAATTTATCCGTCTAATTTGCAAATGGATTTAATTAATTATAATTCAAATAATATGAAACTAATATGTTGAATTTTTTTAATTTTTTCTGGGTAAGTTACAACCACCCCTTAGGTATGGTTGAATTACAAAAACTCCCTCATGTTTGGATAATTACAACTATCCATCAACTATGAATGTTTTTACAAATCGACCTTATGGTGTCAAATTCAACATAATCTTCTAGATTCAGTGGAATGTTCTCTAGTTTGTACTCGTTTTGTGCAGAAATGCAGTTTTTTATGCACCACAATCTAATATATACAAGCCAAAAAACATATCTTATGATTATCTTGCTTCAAAATGTGGAGTTCAGATAGGATAAAACGGGTACACAATTGAGAATAATCCATATAATCTAGAAGATTCCACTAAATTTGACACCACAAGGGTGACGTGTAAGTAAATTTATAGTTGATGGGGTGGTTGTAATTACCCAAACATGAGGGGTTTTTTCATAATTTGATCATACCTGAGTGGTTGTTTTAATTTACCTTTTTTCTTTGAAGATTTGGAGCTTAAAAAGATGCAATCGAGCGAAATAGTTATCCAAATATAAACTCATTCAATTAAAAAAAATATGAAAATATTAGTTACAAGTCTCGGTAAATTGAATCAATTAATATTTCGTACAAATTTTAAAATTCGATTTGGTTGACGCCATTGAAACAGGTGTGTTCGACAAATTCACGGACGAAGCCAATAAATTGAAAGAAATGGTTAGTAGTGATGTTGAAGGTTTACTAAGCTTGTACGAAGCAGCTCATATTCGAATCCGTGGAGAAGACATCTTAGAAGAGGCTGTACCTTTTACGAAACATCATTTGACTCGTCGTCACATGTTGTCGTTGGAATCTCCACTTAAGGACAAAGTGAAGCGAGCTCTAGTGCACTCGCTTCATAGAGGTGTTCCGATTATCGAAGCACGCGTTTACATTTCCATCTACGAAAAAGATGATTCAAGGGATGAAATTATTTTAAAACTAGCAAAATTGAATTTCAATTATCTGCAGAATATGTACAAGGAAGAGCTCTCCGAACTCTACAGGTAAGCAACACATATCCAAACTATTGTATTTTATGTTAGGGCCACCAAAAAAATATGTTTTATTACAATTAGGGCCCCCCTAATATGACTTGTTTTAATAAATTTATATAAATAAATAAAAAATTGCATATGGAGCTCAAATTTTATAGAGAAGATAATATAGTAATTACTACTTGTAATAAATATTTATACAAAAAAAAAAAAAAATTACTTGTATATTAAAATTAAAATAAGGGGCTCAGATTTATATTGTTTTCCTAGGCCTTACATGATCTATGAGATGCTACCCTTGGTGAAAGATATCAGGTGTTGTATCTATACAAATAAATATACATTAAGTGCACGTACATACAAGTGCCTGTCTGTTATTATGTGTAGATCAATGGTGCAGAATCACCCGATGTATTTCACCAAGTGTAGCATCTACAAAATCGCCCTACATAGGCTTTGGCAGTTCCTGAACAATTATTTTTGGTAAATGAAGGTGGTGGAACAACTTTGACCTAAAGTCAAAATAGCCGTACGCAAGAGACAAATTGACAGAGTGCTATCTCTGGGGTGTCGCATTCCATTTTGAACCTCAGTACTCGTATGTTCGAAAAGCGGTTGCGAAAGCTGTGAAAATGGTTACTGTGATAGATGATACATATGATAATTATGCTACACTCAATGAAGCTCAGCTTTTTACTGATGTTCTTGAAAGGTAAACTATCTTGCCTTAAGTACGACTGTACGAGAGCGTAGGTTTAGTACTCAATGCACTTATATAGTTCGCTGATGAACGTCGGTATAGAATGATATATTTTGATTTATAATAATTCTTTTCAGGTGGGATATGAATGAAATTGGTCAACTCCCGGATTATATGAAGGCTGTTTATCAATACATCATGAGTATATATGAAGATTACGAACGAGAGGCAACAAAACAAGGAAAATCGTTTGCAATAACGGAATCAAGCATGTTCCTATTGCCGCCTTAACTGAAGGACTAACAGTAAAATTGATGGAAATGACCTAAAGTGTTGAATTATTGAAACATGAGGGACTAAATTAAATGTGTTTTTTTATGAACATGTTGTCCAAATATGAAATCAGTGCAAACTTGAGGGATGAAGACCGTAATTTTCCCCAAATTAAATATATATGTGGTGGATGATGCATGCGCAGGTGAAACAACTTGCTAGGGCTTTCAACATAGAGCAAAACTGGATTATGGAACGAAAAATGCCTCCATTAGAAGAGTATCTGAAAAATTCAATGATCACAAGTTGCGTTTTTGTGATGTTCACAGCTCATTTTCCGGGCATGAAATCTGTTACCCAAGAAACTATTGATTGGTTGCTCAGTAACCCTAAAATTGTAGTTTCGACTGCGATGATGGGTCGACATGTTGAGGATTTGGGCAGCCATGAAGTATGATAGTATTATTTCAATATTTGTTTTTTGAAAATTTATGCATTAATTACATTTATGCATGAATTGATTTTAATTTTGAGATTTGTCACTTAGTTTACATTCAGAAATAGTTAAAATATATTATGTTTACATTTTTTATTTAAGATTTTATAATGAGTAGAAAATAGCTTATATTACTTATCAACGCTTAATACAACTTATCAAACTCATTCAATTAAAAAAAATATGAAAATATTAGTTACAAGTCACGGTAAATTGAATCAATTAATATTTCGTACCAATTTTAAAATTCGATTTGGTTGACGCCATCGAAACAGGGACAAAGCCAATAAATTTAATGAAATGCTTAGTAGTGATGTCGCAGGTCTACTAAGCTTGTATGAAGCAGCCCACGTTCGAATTCACGGAGAAGACATCTTAGAAGAGGCTGCACCTTTTAAAAAACATCATTTGACTCTTTACGTGTTGTCTCAATTATTAGAGTCTCCCCTCGAACACAAAGTGAGGCGAGCTCTTGAGCAATCGCTGCACAGAGGTGTTCCGATTATCAAAATAAGCCGTTATTTTTCTATCTATGGAAGAGAAGATTCAAGGGATGAGACCATTTTGAAAGGGTTAATGACAAAGAGGCGCATGACAAAGGCACGTAATTAAAAAAATGGACATCCAATTTTTTTGTCTTTCAAATAGATTCAGCTCATTCAGACTTATTTGCAAATAAGAAAAGTCTTTTTATATATACCAAAATTACCCTCAATTCCTTGAAACTCAATTCAACTTCAATTTCATGATTTACACCACAATTTAGACAGAATTGCACCAATTAACCAATTTTGACCCCACACCAGCGGAGACCGACGGTCTCCGGCATTGACTTTGATTTATTCATTTTTTTCTGATTTTTTTTCCGGTAGGTCAACCGCCTGTCTCCGGCGTTGGTCTTTTTTTTTTTTTTTTTTTTTTTTGCTTTTTCTTAAAAAAAATATTTTAATTAATATTACTGTCTTGGCTCCTAAATTACTGTCTCCATCAGTAATTTAACTATTAATTGACTTTTTTTTTTTGAAAATTTATTTTTTCTTAAAAAGAAAAATATTTTAATTAATATTACTGTCTTGGCTGCTAAATTACTGTCTCCAATAGTAATTTAACTGTTGGAAACAGTAATTTAACTGTCTGAGACAGTAATATTACTGTATTAATTAATTATATCGTCTTTGCCTGCAATTTGCTGTTTTCGACCGTAATATTACTGTCTTCGACCGTGATATTACTATCTCATTCAATAATATTACTGTTTGGGACAGTAATATTATGGCTTCGGTCAGTAATATTAGTAATATTACTGCTTTGGTATTCAATATTACTGTTAAAGTCAATTAATAGTTAAATTATTGTCTCCGACAGTTAAATTACTGTTTGCGACAGTAATTTAGCAGCCAAGACAATAATATTAATTAAAATAATTTTTTTTATGAAAAAAAAATTTCAAAAAAAAAAGTCAACGCCAGAGACCGCCGGTTGACCTGCCGGAAAAAAAATTCAGAAAAAAAGTTTTCAAAAAAAAAATTAAAAGTCAACACCGGAGAACCCCTGATTAACGCCGAAATCTGGCAGGAAAAAAATAATTCATAAAACAAATTTATTTTTTGAATTTTCTTTTTTTTTTTTCAAAAAGTTATTACAATGGGGTTAATATGATATATTTGTTTAAATCCGGGGTCAATGTGTAATATTGAGGAAGTTATAATGCAATGGATGGAATTGATAAAAATTATATTTGAAAAACTGTGTTTTGTCTGGAGCAATGTGCGTTTAACTCCTTTATCATGTCTCTATTTGACATTTGTCATTTGCCCATATATATATTAGAGGAAAGTACAGTTTGCACCCCTAAACTATAGGGGTTGTCACAAACACCCCCTTGAACTACGAAACGTAACAAAATGGCCCTTGCCGGTTTCAGTCAACCAACGTAACAAAATGGCCCTTGCCGGTTTCAGTCAACCGTCAAAAAATTAACACCGTCAGTATATCTGTGCATTTACCGTTTTGTCCTTAAAATATGTTTGCATTATCGGGTTGTACCTTTGAGTACAACCATAGTAAGCATACCTTCTTCCAAAATCAAATATCCCCCGTTGCGTCGTCTCCCTCAATTCGAAATCCCAAATTTCCAACTAAATCAGCCGATTCGGGAGCAATAGAAGCATGCGTGAATCGGAGCAGTGCTTCACGTCTGGGCTAAGCGGAGAGAGAGAGAGAACAAATTGTTGTGGACTGTGATAAGGATATAACCAAATGGCACCATAAAATGTTCGATTTTTTTAATGGCAACGGGATCTCATTAGTTTTTTTGCTGGGTTGTTTGATATATCTTCACTATAACCTGTGTTTTTTTGGTGAAATATTCTGGGATTACTACCTAATTGGGATTGAAGGAGATGCTTGAGAATCCTTGCAAGAAACTGAAATTTGGGGTTTTTTTTTATGGAACCTTCTTCCAAAAAGTTGCATATCCAAATTGTAGGATTCAAGAGATGATGTGTTGTTCTTATTCTTTAATTTATGTGAGCATTTACTGGATTGATGAGAGTTTTATGATAGTTCTGGTGAGAAGAGATCAGAGTTTGCAAGTTTGCGACTCTGTTCTAGAGAGTGTGGCATTTGCAGATGTTTCCTTTTTTTCTTTTTCTATTTTTTTTTTATTTTTTTTTCTTTTGTTTTTTAATGATATTGAATAATACTTTATTTTTTTGGGTATTCTGATAGGTTACAAAAATTAAAATATTATTGACCAATTACTAATATATATATATATATATATATATATATATATATATATATATATATATGCACGAATATATGCACGACATATTGAGGGGTAAAAACGACAAACATTAAAAAATGCACTTATAATTGAGAAAGTCAACATGCCACGTCAGCATCAACTAACATATTGTAAACGGAGAGATCATCTTGTTACTTTTCGTAGTTCAAGAGTGTGTTTGTGACAAACTCCGTAGTTCGGGGGTGCAAACTGTACTTACTCCTATATATTATATCCAATAATTGATCAAGCTTAGGTTTACAAATCATGCACCAAACCCCCCCATGTTTCAAAATACTTGCATAAAACCCCCTCTATAGTTAACGGTGTTAACTTTTAACGGAAAAGGGGATTTCGTGCAAAGTAAAATAAAACACAAAGGGGTTTTATGCAACAAAAAAAAAACACGGGGATTTGACGCAAATTTTCTTTAATACATGGGGGTTTTATGCTGCTCACCCCACTTTCCCATTTGCATTAATTTTATTAAATAATTGATGAATTTATTTAAAAAGACTGTTTTAACGTGCATTTAACTCCCTTGGCACGTTCCACTTTTGCCGCGCCTCTTCTTCTCCATTTCTTCATCACGCAATCCAAGCAATCAAATTCTCCAATTGAGCAGGTTATATATTATACCAAACTCTTGTCCTTTTTATTTATTCACAAAAATTCGATCCACTGGGTGAAGATGAGACAGAAGAGAGAGACTTAGAAAAACAATCATCGGGAAGTTGCTATTTGTCGTGAATGGCCATTCATTCTTAATTGGAATAAAATTGCAGTAAGTCAACTTTGTCAACTAAGTAAACTTACCAAAGGCCAAAGATCAGATGGCAAACTTTTTTCCCTTTCATCTACATTTTTTCTCTCTCCTAAGCTACTAAAAAGGTTTTGTTAGTTCTTCCTTCATTTGTGTAAGAAGCCATGGTTGGTTTTGATGATAATTTGATGGCCATCAAGGATAAGCTTTGTGGAAATTCATCGAAATTACAAGTGATCCCAATTGTTGGCATGGGCGGTATCGGTAAGACTACTCTTGCTACAAAGGCTTATCACGATCCATCAATTAACGAGAATTTCAACGTTCGTGCTTGGGTCACTCTATCACAAGATTCTAGCAAAGAAAAAGTTTCTTCGAGTCTCGTGTGTGCCATGGAGAATTTCGTTGTAGGAAGATCCAACGAGAGCAACGAAGTGAAAGTGTTTCAAGCCTTGAAGGGTAGGAAGTATCTGCTTGTATTGGACGATATCTGGAGTACAAAGGCATGGGACGATATAATGATGATGTTTCCAGACGACAACAATAAAAGTCGAATCATTTTAACCACTAGGTTGTCGGATGTAGCCGCTTATCCCGACTCATGTAGCCATCTTCATGAGATGGATCTCTTGGACGATGATCAAAGTTGGAATCTACTTCGACAAAATATTTTTAATGGAAAAGAAGATTATCCCCTTGAATTGGAGATTATCGGAAAGGAGATTGCGAGAAGCTGCGGAGGATTGCCCCTTGCGATTGTGGTGATTGCAGGAGTCCTGTCAAAGGTTGATAACAATCGAGCTTCGTGGGAGAAAATTGCAAGAAACGTAAAATCAACCATCGCGAAAGAAGAAAATGGCAAGTTTGAAGAGATACTATCTTTGAGCTACAACCACTTGCCTCGTCATTTGAGGCCGTGTTTCTTATACATGGGAGGTTTTCCCGAAGATTACGACATAAATATCCCGAGGCTCGTCAAGTTGTGGGTGGCTGAAGAATTCATACATGATATCAGACCATCAAGTGTATCTAGAAGTTTGGAAGAGGTTGCCGAAGAAGAGTATCTGGCGGATCTTGTGAAGAGAAATCTCGTTATGGTCACAGAGAGGAAGTCCGATGGAAGAATCAAAACCTGCAGAGTGCATGATCTGATGCGGGAATTGTGCATAAGAATATCCCGAAAAGAAAATTTTCTTGTGCACGTCACGGATAAAGGAATTCCCGTAGAAAATTTGAGGCGTATATTTATCAACCGAAATGATCTAAATTGCCTCGCAAACATTTATCGCTCAACCACCCGTACGGTTATATGCTTCATGGAGTTGAACAAAGATTCGTACAAGGATTTAACGTATTTCAGATTCATGAGGATTATATGCATCCTAAGTGCTCGTTGCGACATGTCCGATTGTATCGCGAGCCTATGCGTTGAAGACTTCAATTTATTTAACATAAGGTACCTCGCGTTCCCCTATCCAACTAAGATTCCGCCAACCATTTCAAACCTATTGAATCTTCAAGCTTTGATCATACACGAGTCCCTCAACGAATGTAAGCAATCTCTACCTACGAAAATTTGGACGATGAAAGAGCTGAGACATCTTATCTGCTACCGTTTCGGCGAGTTACCAAATCCACCAGACGAGGGAGCAAGTTCCGGTTATGGACTAGAAAACCTGCAAACTCTTTGGGAAGTAACGAATCTTATATGCACCGAAAATATCCTCGAAATGATTCCGAATGTTAAAGAGTTGGGAATTTGCTACACTATAGACAACCGTGAAAAAGAGTACGAGCTTGACAATCTCGTACGTCTGAAGCAACTCGAGAGATTTAAACTAACTCTTTCTTATCCCTTGGATGTGTGGAAGGGCAAAAATATTACGCTCGCTTTTCCAAAGACGCTGAAATGGTTATCCTTTGGCGGTTGGAGCCGTCCCTGGAGCGAAATGACGATTGTAGGCTCCCTCCCTAATCTTCAAGTTCTTAAAATAAAAGAAAATATTTTGAGGGGCGAGACGTGGGAAACCGTTGAGGGAGAATTTCTTGAGCTCAAACACCTCATGATTAAAGGCTCGAAGCTCGAGCGTTGGGTAACCGAAAGTAACCACTTCCCCAAGCTCGAGCGCCTGTTGATTCATCAATGTTTGGAATTAAGGAATATCTCGAATGATATTGGAGAGATTTCAACGTTGGAGCTGATTGAGGTGAAGTCGGGTCTCAAATCTACTGCAGAGTGGGCGGAACGAATTCAACGTGAACAAAGGGATTACAGATATGACGTCACTGAAGTTCGTTGTTTGAATTGTATACATGAACTACAATCTTAAATTCATGTGAACAATTAAAAGGTTTCGAGTTTGGTTTGATTTAATTCAAGTAAACAATTCAATATTTTTGGACTTTTTCGAATTTTGCACTACAATGTTTTGCTTTAACTGTTAAAAAAAAAAAAAAAAAAACATGTCTTTCGTGGATTTGGCGATGTAATTTTGTTATCTATGTACTGATGATTTATTTGGTTAATATCTTCATGATATATTTGAAATGGCAAAGTTTGGCGCCATTTTCGAGGATTGTACGAGAATAGCTCTCAATTTTTATCATGTTTCTTTTAAGTTTGTTAAGCGTATGGGAAACAAATTAGCGCACGCGAATAAAAATTATCCTCTTTCCCATCAAAAAAGAAATACATATAAGTATAGGATTCAGTGTGTTGAGTTGAATGTTTTATTTTTTTTTATGAGAATCTGCATTGGGCAATTATTTGCATTTATTTGTTGTACTCTGCTTCTTTTATTCCGTCCCTATATGATTTAGTGGGGATAATTATACTTTTGTACCAATTAATTATATGCACCAAAATTAATTTTAATCTCTATAATTATTTTTATTACCGATTTTGTTCTCAAACTAAACCATTTTTTTCTTGATCAACTGTGTGATTGCAGTGGTAAGTTGGACGAAAAAAGGCAGGTGTGGAACAGGTCGTACAATTTCATCCTAGAAAACTATTTAATTGGGGTCTCGGTTCGATACGTCCCTTGTTAATTTGTTAAGTGCGTAAAAAAATATGATCCTCGAGTCTGTAAAATATAATAATGAGACAAGAAAAAAATACGGAACAAATATATTTATTAATCAAACGAAAATGAGGTGAATTCCCTTGATTCTTCTCTCCTATTCTAAATTTGATTGAAGGGCTTAAAAGCTTGTTCTTGAATCGAACGAATGATTTCCTATCTCGAATTCAAATAGGTTATGAATTTGAGGCAGAGGCTCGAGACTTGAGCTTGAGAACTCCACATGTGTTGTGTGGGTCTGGTTTTTAGATGCATCGAAGCCGTCATTTTATAGCCACGAGCTAGGGTTTCTTGACTTGTAGGATGGGCCGGTCATTTGTAAAGCCCTAATATATTATGGACTTTGAGTGAGACCCAATTTAATAATCGATTTATTGAATTATTAATTGGTGATTTATCTCAAATACAAAGAAAGAAACAGGGTATAAGGAAATGGAAAAAAAATCTCAAGAAGACAAAACAACAAATACACAGAGTCACTCTGTTCAAAACTTGATCAAGAGTTAATTGTTGAAGGAACTGTATACACATTGCTAATATTACCTAGATAAGAGCTTTAATGGAGATTGCATGAAGAGCAAATTAATCCTCCTTTTTTTTTGTTTTAATCTTTCTCTATATTTATAATGATGACAAAGTGAGTTTTTTAGTGTTGTAAGTTTACTAGTTGAGAGTTTTAGTCCATTACATTTCAGAATCAAAATTTTTGTCATGGGTTTTAAAAGTTGAGAATTTTGGTCCGATGGCATGCTATAAGAAGTAATATAATGGTTGGTTGAATAACTTGACATGTAATTTAATAATAAATAGATTAAAAATAAACTAGATGATGGCTAATGAATTAGATGATTTTGGAGGGAAATAAAAAATAGCATCAAATTATTTTTTATTTGATGAAGGAAATAAGTATTTTGTTTTTAGTATTTATTTTTGTAATTAATATTTCATAGTTTTCGGCCGATTAAAAAGTAGTAATTAACTATATTCTATTACTCCTTGGATATTTGTTACTCGATAACATATTTTATGTTTGAATGCTCTAGAATGTTTTTTGGTACATTTAATATAACATAGCTTTAAATATATTTTATTATTTTTTTAGTTATTTCGTGAATGTGTGTTTGATTTTTTATACTAATTACAATTGTGCATGTCATTTAACTTTACAACAAGTTTTAATAAAAAGTTTTTTTTCCTACAGAGTTGAGAAAAAAAAAAATTCTTCTCAATACCTTGAATTGAGGGCTTCAAAGTCTGTGTTCCAAAAAAATTAAACCCCAACAGTTGCATGCAATGTTGTCGGTCCGAACTTACAACCGAATAAGCATTTGGGTCACGGTTGGATCGGTTCAATCTGGTTTAACAAGGTTTTTTTATTTTTTATATTATTTTATTGTTTTATTAATTTTAATATTGTAGAAATAATATTGTTGCTGACTGTAATTGTACTGTCAACGATAGTATAATTACATAAATGTACTGTCAACGACAGTACAATTACGTTAATGTACTGTTAGTGACAGTATAATTACTGTTAATGACAGTACAATTACGGTCAACGTTAAGCGGCGATGGCTAAAAAAAGAGAAAAAAAAAATCACTAAAAAAAGTGAATGCCGGAGACTGGCGGCGAAAAAAACTGACATAAACAAAAAATCGAAAAAGTCAACGTCGGAGACCGGCGGCGGTCAACACCGAAACCGGCGGCCGAAAAAACAGATAGAAAAAAAAATCAAAAAAGTCAATGCCGGAAATCGGCGGCAGAAAAATAATTTCAGAAAAAAAAAGGTTAAAAAAAAGTTAAAATTGAATTTTTGTGGTCAAAATTGATTAAATTGAGGTTACAATCAAGAATTATGTGTAAATGGTTGACGGTAATTTAATCATGTATACTAAGTTTTCCTTTATTTATAATAAATATTAAAGGGATGAGCTTATTCGCGAAAGAGATATAACCTCTGAACCTATAATAATAATAAAGATGTTTGGTCAGAAACTTATTCACAAAAACCCGTATATATCATCTAATAAATTGGATCTTCACGCATATAACTTAAATAGGACATCTAGCCCATTTTCTCTTAGAAAAAATAGGAAAAGAAAAAAAAAACGAACTGTTATTTATCGATGGCTTGTACAATTGGGCTCGATAATACTTTTGTACAGATTTAAACTGACTCAAGTTCTTAGGAAAGAGTAGGCGGTCGCCTAATTTTAGTACCTTTTTAGGGCCCATAATATTTTTTAATGGCCTTCAATAATTATACATTAATGAAGACAAATTATATTATATTTATTCTTTAACCCTTATTCTTAAGAGGCTCTTCGATATAACCTCTCAATATTTTTTTTAAGGGTAAATTCCACTTTACCCCCTTGTACTTTGGCTGGATATGATCACTTTACCCCCTTGTACTCTCAATTGCATCGATTTGCCCCCTTGTACTTTGGCTCGATATCACTTTACCCCCTTCAACTCTCAATTGCATCGATTTGCCCCCTTACTTGAAAAATTGTCTCAATGTGGCCCTCGACGTTAGTTTTCAGACATTTGACCTTAACACCGTTTGATTTAAGTATGAAAATTACTAAAATGTCACCCCTCCAGTTTAAATAATTATTAATAAAATAAAAAATAATAAAAAATAAAAAACAACAAAAAATAAAATAATAAAAAATTCAAGACAGTGAGAAAACATAGTCCACGACGCCATCCACATTTTTATTTTATTTTTTTTATTTTATTAATAAATATTTAAACTGAGAGGGGTGGTTTTTTGTAATTTTCAAACTTAGATCAAACGGTGTTAAAGACAAATGTCTGAAAACTAACGGCGAGGGCCACATTGAGAATTTTTTTCAAGAACAGGGGGCAAATCGATGCAATTGAGAGTAGAAGGGGGTAAAGTGATATCGAGCCAAAGTACAAGGGGACAAATCGATGAATTGAGAGTAGAAGGGGGTAAAGTGATATCGAACCAAAGTACAAGGGGGCAAATCGATGCAATTGAGAGTACAAGGGGTAAAATGATATACAGCCAAAGTATAAGGGGGTAAAGTGGAATTTACCCTTTTTTAATAGGGAGAGGTCCAGACTATTTTGTACAATTTGAGAAAATTTCACCCTAATTCCAGCCTTCCAATTTTTCCAATTATGTCCTTGCCACCCCATCAGCACTATCACAACACTGTCACCTCCTCATGAGCCGTATTTTTTTTTTTTTTTACTTTTTTATTATTATTGTTATTTATTTTATTTATTTATTTTCATTTTTTTAACTTTTTTTCTATCAGGTATATTAATCGAATATGAAGCATATTAATCGACTATGATGAAGCATAACCGATTAAGGAACTGACTACTAAAAATAAAAAAACACAACTACATAAAAACAAAAATCAACATTTTTTTACAAAATAAACAATATACATAAATTGTTATTGATTTATAAAAATCAGAATGAATACACAAAAATCCAAAAAGGAATTAAAAATTGTAATCGAGTAACCTTAATTGACTACGAAAACACTCGATTAACACTTTAATTGACTATCAGGGCATAGTCGATTAATATAGTCGACTATGATGAAGCATAGTCGATTAAGGGTCCAGCCTGCAAGAATTTCTCAACCCCCGTCGTCGTCCTCCGCCCAATCTACCAAAAAACCCTAGATCTGCTCTCCATCGTCACCACACCACCGCCACATCACACCATCACCATCCCGCACACCATTCAAACAAAAAACCTAAAAAAAAACAGAAAAAGAAAATCGATCCTTCTTTTTAAAACAAAAGCACCCACCACCACCTACGCGGCGGTCAGAGGCGGTTTGCACCCATCTCCGCCCAAGGCCGCCGCTCAACACAACTAGCTTCCATCCAAAACATGGGAGAGTTGCCACAAAATACATTCGAGTATACGAAAAGAGAGAGAAAAAAAATCCAAAGAAAAAAGAAGAAATAAACGAGAAAAGACATGAGATTAATGAAAAATAGGGTTTTGAAAGAGTACACTGGACAATTAAGGGTATATTTTGAATTATGAAAATAATATTTGGGTGGAATATTAGCTAAGGGGATTTTCACGATAAATTTTTGAGATGAGAATTTTCCTTAACTACATTTCCAAGATGGGAGTGATCTTGCTAATTTTCCCTATTCTTAAATAGCTTATTCTTAAACAAAGCTAAACTAATAGTTCACTATACATAATTTCTAATCTTTACAAAAAAAAATCTAAATAAGT